GGGGGGGGGGGGGGGGGGGGTGCTGGAATTGAAATCCGCTGATATAGAATATTAGCCTACTACTTGTACTACAGCATATGTACTGTGCACAGTCTGCAGAATTTATATATGCATGGAATACCCAGATTACCTACTACTGTCCATTCACTGAAATACTGTATGTAGCTTTTAACAGAACACATAATGTGAGGGACTGTATCCCACAATGCAATGTGCATTGACTGGGAAGTTTGTCAACCACCGTGTGACTCATTACTTGATTGGACTAACTAAAAATATCTGTACATGAAATCAGATTCTAAATATAAAATAACAATATTTATATCTTGGTCATGTGATAATACTCCAGCAAATACATTTTTGGAATGTTTATAATTGGATTTTGCATACTGTTGGATAAGTTTAGCATTGCTACATTTTAATTTATAGACTTTAGACAAAAATCATACCCAAATTCATATTGTAAGAATGTAATTTAGTTTGTTAGTGATTAACATTTTTTTTTCATAAATTTTTTTTTTAATTTAACTTATTTAGTGCTTTGCAAATTAATTCATAAATGCATGCATTTATTTATTTGGCTTTTTCTGCCTTCATTGCCTTCATTGTTCACTTTACTTACTTTCTGAACTTACGTTAGTTTTAAAATATCATTTAAAATCTAAAATGTGTAATAAAATGAAATTGTGTATAAAAGTGTATATTATAATGGTTTGGTTTTCAGTGGTTTTCTTACCAAGGTGGCAAATGACCAAGTGCCATACACTGCAGCTTTTTCCTTTTAGACACAACTACAATTTGGTGGATTAAATATGATGATGTTTATATGAACTGATTTTGAGCATCATTTTAATTGGCATACTGAAGGAGACAATACCCTTGTGAAAAAGAAGTGTGCTTAATTGTACCAGTAGTGTACTTCCGATCTTAACAATGTATATTAAAAAAAAGTAAAAAAAACCTGTAAGTGCAGATAATGTAATATCAAAGAAATAAAATGCCATTTAAGTATACTTTCAGAGTTCATTTTCATGACTGTTTTGCATTTAAAAAGTGGGTTTCACTTTATTTTGATGGTCCCCTTAACACATTCTTTTGACTATAAGTAACGTTGCACCTACATATCTACTAAGTCTCACTAGAGTTTTAGTAGAGTATTAGTAGACTGGTAGGTTTAGGGTTAGATTAAGCTGACGTACATGCAAAGTTACTTTTACTTATAGTCAGTAGAATATCTATTGGGGAGCAACACAATAAAGAGTTATTAAAGGGATATTAAAGCAGAAAGCAGATATTAAAGGGATAGTTCACCCAAAAATGAAAATTCTGTTATTAATTACTCACCCTCACTAGTGCCATTTTAGAGAGTATCATGACGTATGCACGTGCTTTCCTCTGAACATAAACAAGGCACAGTGCATGTGTGTACAACGTCAGCAGCACCATGCGCATGGGTTGTTTACGTGCAGATCAAAGCGCGTGCATGCACTGTCATACTCTCCAAAACAGCGGTTGAACGTTTGAACCACTGATGTCACATGGACTATTTTGTCAATGTTCTTGGTACCTTTCTGGACCTTGAACGTGGTACTTGTGTTGCTGTCTATGGAGGGTCAGAGAGCTCTCGGATTTCATCAAAAAATATCTTAATTTGTGTACCAGAGATGAATGAAGGTCTTGCGGGTTTGGAACAACATGAGGGTGAGTAATTTCAGAATTTTCATTTTTGGGAGAACTATCCCTTTAAACCTTTCTTAATTTTTATTTATTTTTTTGGTCAAAACCATATGAAACCAACATTAATACAAAGAGTAGAGTTATAAAAACTTGACACAGATTTTTAAAAAGATTTTTCCTTTTCTTTATCTTGGACACTTTTATTTTGACCTCTAGAATTATTCAATACAAAACTGCTGACGTCATATTTTCATCATATAAAGTGATTGTATCTCTTCACAGGACTAGGATTAAAGCGCTTGATTCATATGGATTCATTTTACGATGCCTTTATGACCTTTTAAGTTTTGGTTACTTGGACTTTCAATGGAAAAACTTTTCAGGTTTCATTAAACAGATCTTAATTTGGCTTTTGAAGATTAACTAAGGGTCTTAAGTCTTATGGGTTTGGAACAACATGAGGGTAAATGACTACATTTAAATTTTTGCCTCAACTGTATACATTAATGATAACAAATAAAAAAAGTCAGCCAGCTATTTATCATTAAGTCCATTATTGTGTCTTTAAACTTGAACCACTGATGTCACATGGACTATTTTGTGAATGTTCTTGGTACCTTTCTGGACCTTGAACGTGGTACTTGTGTTGCTGTCTATGGAGGGTCAGAGAGCTCTCGGATTTCATCAAAAAATATCTTAATTTGTGTACCGGAGATGAATGAAGGTCTTGCAGGTTTGGAACAACATGAGGGTGAGTAATTAATGACAGAATTTTCATTTTTGGGTGAACTATCCCTTTAAGCAGACAGGCTAAAAATACTAAAGAGTTAGTTGACATATATGTGCATTGTTACTTATTGTAAAAAGAATGTTCAAAAGGGACCATCAAAATAATGTGATAACAAAAAGTGCACTTTGTAATACTTCAAAGTACATTTTACATATTTTTTTAATCTTTTGTCATGCGTTAAAGAAGTACATATATTTTGATGTGTTGACTAACATTCCGATGCAAATGTAAAATACTTCATTATAATTTTAGCTACATTTAAGAAAATGTTGGTTTAACAATAAATGCTTGTCAGTACATTTGGCAGAGCATATTAACTATAGTTAATTAATTATAGTTTCAGAGACAATAGTAATGAGTAATTATAAAATTATGTAAGTCCTACTTAAGTGATAAAGTTCAGCTAATTGCATTTAATATAAATTTAAACTATACTACAATTTCATTTAATTGCAATTACCCTGCAAGTAAGTGTCTGAAAAAATACAGTATGTTTAGTTCACACTTAATTGTATTTTTTAAAATATATTATTTCCATAAAGTACACATCATTTTCACAAGGGTAGAATTAAACTAATACTTGCATCATGAGCTACATTAAAGATTATGGTGAGAAAATCATAAAGAATAAGTGCTTAGTTACGTGCCAGAACCTCTTTTGGCCAAACATTCTACCAACCACCAATTCTTTATTCAGAACTAAATGTTCTGGCCTGTTTGTGGTTTTAAATACATGTGTCTTTTTAAATGTATGTATCTTTGTAAATTTTTAACAATCTGACACCACTGATTATAACTTAATTGGCTTTTGTAAACATTTGCTTTAAAATTAATTACTTAATAAGACAATGCACACGTGAAGATATCTGGAGACCCAAACAACTGGTGTCAGATTGAATAATTTTGTTCACTGTTTAAAATGTCTTATTGATTTTAATGAATATGAAATGTTGGGAGATGTGACTGGGTGCAGTGACTGTGTCTAAACACAATTAGATTTTTTTCAAGCTCTACTAATGACTTTTGTTCTTTTCAGGGATCCAGTTTCGTCTCCCTACTGCCTGTAGTGTGGATCGAACAGAAACCCCCACGCCAGGTAAAGCCACACATCCCAGTGAAGCCATACCACATGGTGCGTTCATGTTCAGAATCGTCACGCTCATTCAGACCCTCTCAGATTTTCATGTCAGTCCAAACTCATATGACCTTTTCTCGTGAAATACAAATCAAAATGTCAAAGATAGTCTTTTCCACACAGTGAAGATGCATGCTGATCTGAAGTCTGGACTGACAAATCAAAACAAAGCCGAACAAAAACAAAACAAATCAAAATAAAGCAAAGCAAAGCAAAGCAAAGCATAGCAAAACAATGAAATAACAGCAAAACAAACAAAGGCCAGGCAAAACAATGAAACAAAACAAAGCAAAGCAAGGAAAGGCAAGGCAAACAATGAAACAAAATAGAGCACAGTAAGGCAAAACAAGAAAACAAAGCAACAAAACAGTAAAACAAAGTAAGCCAAGGCAAAACAAACAAAACAAAAGCAAGACAAAACAAGGCAAAACAAAACAATGAAAGGCAAAACAATGAAACAAAGTAAATCAAGGCACGGCAAGAAAAAAATGCAACAAAAAAGCGAAGCAAGGCAAGACAAAACAACGAAACAAAAAAAAACAAAACAAAGCAAAGCAAAGCAACAAAACAAGACAAGACAAGACAAGACAACAAATCAAAACAATGCAAGGCAATGAGAAACAACGAAAGAAATCAAAGCAAAGAAAGGCAAGGCAAGGCAAAAAAATCAAAGCAACAAAGCAAAACACGGTAAAGCAAAGCAAGACAAGACAAGGCAAAAAAAATAAATAAATAAATAAACAAAGCAAGACAATACAAAACATCTAACAAAACAAAGCAAGGTGAAACAACAAAACAGTAAAGATAAGGCAAAACAGCAAAACAAAACAAAAAAAAAGCAACAAAACACAGTAAAGCAAAGCAAGCCAAGGCAAAACATCAAAACAAAAAAATCAAAGCAACAAAGCAAAACACGGTAAAGCAAAGCAAGACAAGACAAGGCAAAAAAAATAAATAAATAAATAAACAAAGCAAGACAATACAAAACATCTAACAAAACAAAGCAAGGTGAAACAACAAAACAGTAAAGATAAGGCAAAACAGCAAAACAAAACAAAAAAAAAGCAACAAAACACAGTAAAGCAAAGCAAGCCGAGGCAAAACATCAAAACAAACAAAGCAAAGCAAAACAAAGCAAACAACAACACGTGATATTCAGCTTGTTTTCTAGGGAAATTTTGTCACTAATGCTGATAAGGCTCTGTACACACATTATTAGAATATCTGCTCTTATATCACTGGGCTGCTGTTTTACTGTCTATTATCAGGCACCACATGCACTGAATAGCTGATTTTAGTGGAGACTGAACATCTGTTGTTGATTAAACAGTCACACTGAAAGTTTTATAACTCATTCAAGTTGGCATTAAAATTCAGAACACGCAGCTTAACACATGCACTGATAAACAGTTCAAGATTCAGTTCACAACCTTATGTGCTATGCACAAGTTTAGGTAAAACACCTAACAAATTAACACCGCTATAGCATCAAATATGTTAATTAGTAATTAGTGTGTAATTAGTTAAGTAATGTCATAGTAGGCTGAAATCTCAGGGGACAGCCTTAGACTTTCAGCAACAGAAGTGTTTCTTCCCAGTGTGCAGGTTTGTAATGAAGAATGCACATGCACCTGAGCTAATGTAAATGAATGATTATTTTACAAGACTTCACTCATGTTTCTTCAGATCATGTATGATAAATAGGTGAAAATCAATGAATAAATAGAAGGACTACTGTATATTGTACACATACTGTATGTATTAAATGTATTAAGATGTATATGTGTTCTTTGGAAAGAACAAATTCTAATCTTCACTAGTGATTCATGGTTTTGATCATGCCTACTATCATTGTTTTTGTATTTAGCACCTGCGTGGCATTTGATACCCCCCTGATAACTGTTGCAAGACACCAAATCATTCAGCAGCCCTTTATTGGCACACTGGGCTTTCGGAGAAAAAACTGGGCCATTCAAGATGTGTTTTTACAAGCTAACAAGACACTGCTTTCTCAGAGATATGAGAAAAATAAACCTAAAACACATAAGGATTTTCAAGATTTTGTAGAACTGCTAAATGCACATTTGTAGGCTATACATGCAAATCCATATTTTCACAACCATTTATTGAGGCGAGGACTGAAGATGTGGTCACAATAACCATTGTTTGTCAAATTTTCACAGGCAAAATCCAAATTTCAGCAGGAATCCACATGACTGGGAATTTTGCACAAGGGCAAAATATTTCCCCATGCAGATTTCACAATAGTTGCAAAGTTACTTACGGTTAATAGAATGTCTAAAGTGGACTATCGAAATAAAGTGTTACCAAAGATTAAAATCCGCCACGTTGACCAACAAAAATCTGTTTTGTTTTTTTTTCGCTATATGGGAACCTCACCTTCGTAGATGTAAAATATCTACAAGAAAATGTTAGTTAAAATAATTTTGTGTTTAAAAAAATGTGAAGTGTTCAGGGCGTTGTTTCATTTTTCATAAAACTTTTCTTTTCTTAAAGTGAATCAAATTATCAGATTTATCAGACACTCCTTTATTTGAAATAAAATCTAAATAGAACAGATGTAATTTTTTTACAGTTAATAAATACATATGGCATGATTTATGCTGATAATGTGTTAATTAAATGACAAAATTTATCATATATTATTATTTTAGTATTATTCAGGATCATTTTGTTAAACTGAAGTGCTGTACTTTCCAAACGGAATTGGGATTTTTTTTTTTTTTTTTCTGAACATTCCTCAACCATCTGCCATTGAAGAATAGATCAGACATACAGTATGATGAGTCCTGCAACATAAGTTTTATTCAGATTTGAAAGAATATAGGATGAAAATATATAAAAGATATCGAGATATCAAATAAATCAGCTTCAGTGTTGCTTTGTGTTTCAGTATGGTTGTCTCTGCATATAGCCGCGATAGGAGAAAATATTTTAACATCCGAATTCAGTTTTAAATCTTCCACACTTCCAGAGAGTGGTTGCAGAGATGAGTCATATTCTGTTGCTCTGGGAGTTTTTATATTTAATCACAGCTGATGAAGTGTTCGACATGCTGATGACAGAATGAATTATGACACCGAGCATCAACACTACAGGTCATGAATGGATTATTGTGTTCCTCTCTTATACAACCCTACATTCTATTTTTGGAAGTGTTTTACTCCTCTGTATGAATCACACGTCTCTCTCACCCACATTTTTCCCTTCAGTCTGTGACTCATTCAGCAGTTTTATAATAGTGTGCTATTTGCAGCCCGTGGTTTTGATTGGCACATCATATGTAGACTGTTACATTTAACCACACTGAGGTATTTTGTCATGTTGGCAAATGCAAGCACCCTGCAGGTGCTGCAAAGTAGGTCTGTATTTCCTTCTTTTGTTTTTTATTTTATTTTATTTTTTTATCCTGTTTGAGGTCAGGGCAGCTTGATTTTTCCAAGGCTTCATTGCTTTCAAAGAATCAAGCTGGATTAGCACCAGGTTTGGGTTGCACAAGCCAGAACTGACCGGAGCAGGAGCGCAGCAGCACGTCATCTCAGTGCTGTCAGCTGTAGCAAAATAGACAAACTGACAACTGTTATCAAATTGTATATGGCATTAAACTTGAATGATTCACACTCTCTGCTTCCTGCTTTCCATATATGGGCTGCTCAGTGACTGTGTAAAATGATTGGCAGGTAAAAAGCACCTCACAATCTTCTGATTGGCTAAGGGATGTCAGTCTCAGAGAAATGTGATTATGTTTCTTAGAGATTATGCAGTGAGATCAAAGTAAATTCTAAATATTTAGGAAAATATTCAGGATCTAAAATTAAGAGGTAAATATACAAAAAAGTAAATACTGTAATTGCAAAATATTTCCTTTTAATATACCTGTTTTTTTTTTAAATACATAATAAATTGTATGTATTTATTTTAAATAGATTTTAAATAATGTAATTTATTACTGATTTATTTAAAAAATCTTTGGTAACATTATAATTATCTTTACTGTCACATTTGATCAACTGCATCCTTGCATGATTAAAAAGTATTAATTTCTTTAAAAAAAAAAAAAACTGTTAACACACTATTTTAATCCACTTTAGACATTCTGCTAACTATGATTAACTTATTAAACTAACCATAGCCTTACAGTTTACTAATATTCTAATGAGAGTTAGTTGACAAATAGTTGCAAAGTTACTTACAGTTAGTACAGTGTCTAAAGTGGCCTATCAAAATAAAGTGTAAACAATTTGCTTGCTGAGGGGAAACAGTTGTCTTTTTATGACATTGAATATTTTAAACATATTCAGGAATTTCGTTCATGGAAGATACGGTAGTTGCAAGTAAATGAGAAACATTTGCCAAACTAATACCTTTAATGCACAATGTTTTGCCCCACTCTAAACATCCCTTAAAATTAAATCAGAATGAACTACTCTTTGCCAGATTAAGATAGAGTATGCATCAGATTTAATGTGGATAGTCAAAACATTGGCTTGCAAGACAAACAGTCTTTGTCTAGTGTAGCGAATCAGCTCATGGGGAAATATGAATAATTAATCATAACTAGTTATAATTAATTATGAATATTTAGATCCGCTGTAGATATTCTATGTTCAGTCTATGTTCAGACTCTGGGTCTGAGAATTCCTTTGTGATGGCTTGTTTACCCTGCTCGTGAGCTTCAGGATCAGTT